CTGAGACAGGGTGATGGATGGGGGAAGGAACCTGAGGAATTTGTCTATTTCTTTTTTTTTTTTTTTGGCTTTTTGGGTCACACCTGGAGATGCACGGGGGTTACTCCTGGCTCTACACTCAGGAATTACCCCTCGCAGTGCTCAGGGAACCATATGGGATGCTGGGAATCGAACCTGGGTTGGCCGCGTGCAAAGCAAATGCCCTACCCACTGTGCTATCGCTCCACCCCCAGGAACCTGAGGAATTTGGATGACGGGAAATAGACACTGGTGGTAGGAATAGGGTTGGAACATTGTATGTCTGAAACTATTATGGAGAACTTTGCAAATAAAGGGGCCGAGAGATAGTACAGCTGGTAAAGTACTTCCCTTGCAGACCCAAGTTTGATTCCTGGCATCCCGAGCCTACCAAGAGTGCAGTTAGGAGTAAACCCTGAGCACTGCTGGATGTGAACCAAAAACCAAAAGTAAAAATTTGGTGCTATAGCAGTAATAAGAGTGGGCAATAAGTTGCACTTGGCCAACCTGGGTTCAATTCATGGCATCATAGATAGTTCCCAGAGCCCTGCTAGAGGTTTTTCCTGAGTGCAGAATCAGAATCAGGAATAAGCCCTGAGCACTGTCGGTTTTGCCTAAACCACCCCCCTTCAAAAAAAAAAAAAAGTCTTATCTCTTTCTTTCCCACTGTACCCTATCTTAGTCCTCATTTCAACCCTCCCTCGGTTTCCAGGTGAATCTTACATAAAATCACATGATGGCATCAATGCAAGCCATTAAATATGATTTAAAATTTACTAGTTTTAGCATAAAGCTTTCATCTTGGATAATTTGGCAGACTAATATCTAAAACTGAAAATATTTTAAATTTTTTCATATAAATTAATGCAGTTATATAAAACTGGACTTTGTTACTTCTTTATTTTGATTAGAGTCATACCTGGAGGTGTTCTGGAGTCATTCTCAGCTCAGTGCTCAGTGGGTGGAAGGAACATGTGGTACTGGGGTTCAAACCAGAGTTCCTACATGCAAAGCAGATGCCTCAGGCCCCTGATTTACCTCCCTGACCCATAACAACTATAAACTGAAAACTTTGTTCTTTCATGACTTAAATGACTGTTATAACTTTTTTCATTTTTAAAACGTTTCATTTTCCTTTGTTTTGGGGGCCACACCTGGCTGTGCTCAAGGCTTACTCCTGGCTCTGCACTCCAGGCGTGTATCAGGGGACTATATGGAGTGCCTGGGATTGAATCTAGGTCAATGTTGTGCAAGGCAAGCTCCCTACCCAGTTTATAATCGCTCCAGCCTCCAGTTGTGACTATTTTTAATAAGTGAAAATAGTATCGCCTAAAAGTAAGATAACTAAGTGAAGACCTCAGGCAAAGGTGCTATTTTTCTTTTTCTATTTTTTTTTTTGTAGGAGTACTGCTATTTATTCAGCCACTGATTAGCTGATTGAATTGGGCATGAACTCCACCTTAATTTTTAAATTTTTTTCTTCTTATATTTGTTTATTGAATCACTGTGGGAAAAGTTACTAAGCTTTCAGGTTTAAGTCTTGGTCATATAATGATCAAACACCTTTCCCTTCACCAGTACTCACATTTCACCACCAAGAACCCCAATATTCCCCCCTCTCACCCCTCCAAATGTCTGTGAGGCAGATGATTTCTACTTAACTCTTCTCTACATTGATTACATTCATTATTTCGACAAAAGATAAGGTGCTATTTTTCTTTAAAAAAAAATTGTTTTCCCTTCCACTTCTTTTCATTGTTGATGATGTTGTTGGAATAACTGAGGCGTCACACCCTTACTGGCTATAATGCCTACCATTTTTCAGTTGTGGTACTTACTGGGGGCTGTACATCAAGTTGTGGTGCTTGCATGTTTGACCACAGTGCTCACTGAGGGTTGCACTTTAGGTGGTGTGCTCACTCTCAAACTAATTATAGTGCTTGCTTGGATAGCAGGGGGAGTGCTCTGGTGCTCACACATATCCTTGCCAGGGGTTGCACTTCCAGGCTGCTCTCTGGGAGCGGTCAGAGCTGCCAGGCTCAAACATCATACTCAGCACAGGCAGAGACACTCAACATATGCTTGCGAGGCCAGAGTTGTAAGATGCTGAATTATTCTTCATGACTCATGGGAACCCTTCTTGGTGGTCCAGGTAAACTTGGTAGCCAGAACTTAAAATAGTTAAGTGGAATTTTAGAATTTAGGAGAAACTAAGAAATAAAACCCTGGGGCCGGAGTGATTTTATAGCAGGGAGGGTGTCTTCCTTATAAGCGGCTGACCCAGGTTCAATCCCCGGCATCCCATATGTCCCCTGAGCACCACCAGGAGTAATTCCTAAGTGCAGAGCCAGGAGTAACCCCTGAGCATCACCGGGTGTGACCCAAAAAGGAAAAAAAAAAAAAAAAGAAAACCCAACAAAAACAACAAATGGAGGTAACAGGAAAAGCAAGTTAGACTGTCTTCAGTGGCAGTTGTTAAAGACAGATGCAGCATAAACTGAGTATAATGAAAGAAAAAACCTAGAAAGGGGGAAAATGTCTTAAATTAGAAAGTGTGAAGTCCATAAAGAGAACTGCATAGGCAGGAAGCAAGTGGGTGGGATACTGTCCCCTTTTCCTGGCAAGGTTATCTATCAGGTGTCTGTGTCTGAGTTAAAGGTTGCTTCAACCCGAAGATTGCTTTTGGCTATCTTCTGTATTGCTAGAAAATACTTTTTCTTTCAATTCCAGTATTTCAGTATGTGCATAAGAAATGGAAGATTTCATCTGATGTGCAGTACAAGATCTAGAAGTGGTGCTGTACAAGTTCAACTGGTTGCGCCATTCCTATCATTTGAGGTAGAGTTTAAAATCAACTTAAAGGTGGGTCTGGCTGTCCTCGCCGGGGCCCCTTGGAGGGGAGCGGGTTGAGCTTTCCTCCCCGCCCTGACCAGGGCTCCGGCAGCCAAAGACCTGCAGGACCAGCCACCACCATGCTGAGACCACTCTCCGCACCCATGAAGGTACTGGCAGAGAGGGACAAAGTCACGCGGGTTTGGGGGCCGACATCTTACCTCATTCCTACTTTGGACAAACTGGCAGGCTACCAAATGTAGCCTGCCCACACGGCAGAGTCTGGCAAACTCCCCGTGGCGTACCCAATATGCCAAATACCAGTAACAATGATGGGTCTCATTCTCCTAAAGAGCTTTGTATATAATATCAGGGCTATGATGAAGGAGACATTACTGGGGCCTGCTCGAGGCAATCGACGAATAACAGAATGATTTGTGATTTTGTGAAAGGTGGGTCTATTATCAAAAACAGGACTGGGGCAGGGAGTGCATAGAAAGAATCAGTTATTTCATTTTTTTCTTACAGACTTCCCCAAGAAGGATTTCATGGAGAGCAAGTATTTATTTGAGAAGATAAAGGAAGCAAGGACCCTATTCGGGGTTAAGTTAAAGAGAAGAGAAAGTAGGGAAGACACTCCCTCAATAATTGGGGGTGGGGGGGTCCAAGGAGGAACAATCTAGCAAGAACCATCTAAATTCAATTAAAAACCACTTAAATTGATGAGGAACATGAGGTAGGGTCTAAAGAAATCAAAGACTGAGGGGCTGGAGCCTTAGCAGAGTGGTTAGGGCATTTGCCTTGCACGTGACCAACCCGGATTTGTTCCCTGGCACCCAATATGGTTCCCAGAGCGCACCAAGAATGATCCCTGAGCACAGAGCCAGGAGTAAGCCCTCTGAGAACAGCCAAGTGTGACTCCAAAGCAAAGATAAAAGAAATTGAAGACTGAATCAAAATGAAAAGCCATTAAGCCCTCCAGGATAGGGAGAGTAGCCCTTATCTTATTCTCTTCCCCCACCCCAGCCCCACCCCAAGCCTAAAGCAAGGAGACCCTGAGGGCGGAACCTTTAATCAGAAACTTTTAGATTTGCAGATGCAATGGAGCACAACTCAAGGGGACCAGCCCAAGGGAATTTATGAGCCTCTATACCTGAGTTACAGTCTACAAGCCCACCCTTTACAAAAATGTGCTTATCTGTTCAGTCCCTCCCCCTCGCCCCTCCCCTCCAAAAACTGGTAACTAGTTCCGCGACTGTTCAGACAGGATGGTTATTTTGAGGATGTGAGCCATTTTCCAACAGTCCAGGGTGCTGCTGGTGGAGTTTGACCATCACTGTAAAGTCTGGGTTGACCGGATCCCCAGCAGCCTTGGAATTGAACCTACATGGATACAAAGACAACAAGCAATTCGGTAAACAATGCATTAATAAAGGTGAAAAATATACAACGATAACCAAATGTAACTTGGACAGAACTATGTTGTACAACTTGAGTATAATTACTGTGATGACTCATGTATAATAATGTTAATATACTCAGCCGAATTCACATAAAATAATGTTCATTAACAACAAACTATATGGCATATTTCTTCTAAAAAGCAAGTTTCTTCTGTCGGCTTAAATTTCCTTATCTGTAAAAAACTAAAGGGGAGGGGGGATTCTATCTCAGACATAGGGACAAGATCAAACGATTAGAACCTGGCTCCCTGTAGCCTGGTATTAACATTTGCCCAAAAATGTCATTTCTGGAAAAGGAAAAAACGCGTGTTTTTGGCAAACGCAAAACTCAAAAGAGGGACAGAATGACTTCAGGGCCAGACGTTTGCATCAACCAGGCCCGCGCCTGGCCCCGGGTCTCGCCCACACTGCCGGGCACCCCTTCTGCAGGTCACTGCCTTGGAAGCGTTCAGGCCGTGCCCCGCGGTACCCGCTTTCGCGTCCTCCCGGGGCTCTACCCATCCTTCCCTCCGGAGTCGGCGTGGCTCACCTGCGCCGCCCGGAAGTCCTCCGTGCCGAGTGGCACGCGCCGCCCGCCGGAGGCGTTGGAAAGGCGCCGCCGCGACAGTGTCGTAAAAGCGTCGCAAAGCCGCGCCGTCCTTGGCGGCGCCGGGCCACCGGTATAAACGGCGCGTGTGCCGGGGCCGGGCAGCCAGTATGGACGCGGCCGGGGCGCTGCCGGCGCGCGGGGGCTGGGCGGGCGCGCGGCTCGCGGGCGCCGCCGGCCGCTGAACCTCCCGGCGCGGGGCCATGCTGGCTTCGCGCGTGGCGCGCGGCCCGTGGGCGGCTCTGCGCGGCGCCGTGTGGCTGCGGGGGGCGCGGCTGGGCAAGGGGCGCGCCCGCGAGGCGCTGCTGCCGCCGCCGCCTGCCTGCTGGCTGCGCCCGGGGCCGCCGGGGACCGACCCGCGGGGCCGCTGCTCGGGCTCGGGGAAGGCGGCCCCGGGACCCGCCGCTGCCGCCGCCGCCGCCGAGGCTCGGGCCCGCCGCTGGGGCCCGCCGGGCGCCGCCAGCCTGGTAGGTAGCGAGGGGGGCGCGGACCGGTCCGGCCTGGCTCGGGTCGGGACTCGGGGCTCCCGCCCCGGGTCCGGCCGGGCCGAGCGCCTGGGAGGAGGTTCGGTAGCGAGGCTCTTCGGGAGGAATTCCAGGAGTACCGGCCCGGCCCCCCTTCTGTCCCGGCGACCCGGCTCGAGTCCCCCCCCACCCCCTCTTGCCCAAACGCTTTTTCTCCCCGCACCCTTTTGGGACCCTCTTGGCTCTTGGCATCTCTCGCCGGTTTTGTGAAAACGGGGCGATTTTTCGTGTGGGGGCCGTTCTACACCCGGAGGAGCTCAGGGCTCACTCCTGGCTCTGTCTGTGTTCAGGGATCCCTCCTGGTAGGGCTGCGGGGGACCATATGGGATGCTGGAGATCCAACCCGGCTCGGCAAACCCCTTACCCGCTGTACTCTCCCTCCAGCCCCCCAAATTAGGCGATTCCCCCACCCCCCTAAATGTTTGGCAAACTAATTTCACAAGTACAAGGCAAACCCGGGCGGCGGGGGCGTCTTCAGGAAAGAATACACACAGGCCTATTGGCTGGTGCAAGTTTGGCTCGCCTGTTTCCCCCCCCCCCCACCCCCCCGACCCTCTGACGCTTTCTGAGCTGAAGGATGAGATTTATTTGAATAATAAGCTAAAAAGATCCTTTAACCTCAGTTTACAGGAAAGAACTTAAAGCCTCTTCCTGGGGTCAAGGGTGTTTGTCCACTCACCTTGAGATTCGCCGGAAGCCCGAGGCCACGGAACAGGGGCGGTGGGGGAGCAAACCTGATGACACGTTAGCAAAGCCTCATGCAATTATTACATCTTCAATTGTTAGGTCTTCAGCGGGGCCGTGTCCTGCTTTTGTCAGTTGTACAGCATGGGTTGGGCTGGCCACATCCTGGCAGGGGTCTCAGCTCCACTAATTGATAGGGCATGCGGGACTTTGGATGCTGGACGCTTTGAGGTCCCCAGGTCCTGTCTGAAGAAGTCCTTTCCGGAACGGCAGTAGTTGGTCGAGTATGCCACAGGTTATCTGGTTGGGTAATCCGAGATTAGCTTCGCTTAATTTTATTTTAGCACCTTTTACAGATTGTAATGGTTGGAAATGTCTGAGGATCTTAGGGACGTGTTTTATGGGATGCTAAAGAGGAACCCCTATTCTCTGTACCAGCAACCTTCAAACCTCCCGCTATTACGGCACTGAATGAATTCTGGCTTTGTGCAGGAAAAGTTTATTCATCTGGGGCAGCTTTACTCTGACCGTTTGTTTGCTTTTTTAAAAATTTCTTTTCTCTCCCCTGCGAGTGGTTCTGTTAGGTCAGTATCGACTTATTCTCCACCGCGGTAGTTGCTACAGTTTTTTCGTTCTGTACTCTGAACTTTGAACTTGGTTTATGTTGCAAGAATGTTTCCATTGTATTCTCTAATGTAGTGTCTACTTCCAAAAAAGGTCTGAGTGGAGACTTGTCCTGTTTTTTTTTTTTTTTCTGGTGATTGTTTCCTGGATAATTTGAAGGTATCTGTCGCCCTCCAGGACAGTATTCTGTTCCTTGACCCCAATGACAAATAAGCCCCTTAACTGCCATTCTGAGGGGAGCCTGTCTCACTGAGCTCTATTTATACACGTGTACATGTTTACTATCTTAATGGAAGTGCCTTTTCTTATCTTACATGTTTGTTCCTGGAATTTTAACAGGTCTCTTTAGAAAATGTTAATCCAGAATAAAAGTTAAGGGTCAGGCAAATTAGTTACCGGCTAAAAGGTTAAATAGGGTCGACCATGTGCGTTACCCTGGTGGGGTAGAGTTGGCCGCCTTCACCCTGGAGGGGAAGATCCTGGCTTTGGGGAGTGACCTATTCATATTTTTTCTGTACCCCCTTTATACAAGGGGCTGAGAAGGAGACATTTTTCCCCCTTCTTTGAATTCAGAATTAAAATACACTCTTATAAAACAGATTTTGTTTGGCAAGGAAGGAATATTCTTCAGAGCAGCTGTCACAGAGCCCTTTAACTGGTGCCAACTTCCACAGCCTGGCGCCGAATGGAGTTTCAAGGAATTACCAAGCCTGCTCCACGTGGGAGCAGTGAGAACCCTCAGTTTCTCCCTGGGCATCTTAACATTTCCGCAGAGCTATTTTGAACAGAGTTACAAAACGTATCTTTATTTCCTAAGGATCTTAATTCCTATATCTACCTCCATTTTCTTTCAGCAGTTGACCAGTAAATGATGAGGTTATAGAATTGTTTCTCCTCCTCCTTCATGTATCCTTTTGCTGTATTGCCTGGAGTGTTCTTTTGAAGTGTATGGAAGTGTGAAGGAGAGGTTACTAGCAATGCATTTTTTTAAGCAAAATCCGTGGGGTTGATAATTTAATATTTTTTTACCCCCCTGGCACTCGACTGTCTACTTGAAGTCTAAGATCTTCTCAGAGTTTCATGATTTTATTTTTGAGGTCTTATGCAGAAGTGCTTAGAATCAACTCATGGCTTAGTGCTTGGTATCAGGTGGTACCAAGTGGTACTGGGATCATGTCTTGAGCCTCCTGCAGACAAACCATGCACCCCAGCCTGTTGAACTATGCCCCTCAACCTTTTTGAGGCCTTAGGCAGAAGTGCTTAGAACCAACATTTTAAAAAGCTGAGTTTGAGGGACTTGGGAGATAGCTCAAACCTATGGCGCTGGAGTGATAGCACAGCGGGTAGGGCGTTCGCCTTACAAGCGGCCAACATGGCCGACCCGAGTTCGATTCCTCCGCCCCTCTCGGAGAGCCCGGCAAGCTACCGAGAGTATTCGATATGCCAGACACAGTAACAACAAAGTCTCCAATGGAGACGTTACTGGGCCCGCTCGAGCAAATTGACTATCTACGGGAGGGCCTCGAGCATGGTTTACTTGTTTCCATCCCCTGACCTCTTAGTTCTTCTGAATACCTCTGGGTGTGACCCCCAAAAGCAAACCAAACAACCAAAGTAGTGTAAGTTTTGATTTCTAATGGCGAGTCCTATATTAGAGCTTGAAAACGATTTGAATTAAATGTTAGTAGATAAGCTTGAGGAAGAAAACCTCTGTATAGAAGATAGTCTAATCTGTGTTTGGGCTGGAGACACTTGATCTTCTGTATGATTGACAAATTAGTTTTAGAGCAGTATCAAAGAAGAATAGTGTAGGGGCTGGAGCAATAGCACAGAGAGTGGGGCGTTCGCCTTACACACGGCTGACCCGGGTTGGATTCCTAGCATTACATACGGTCCCCTGAGCACCACCAGGGGTAATTCCTGATTGCAGAGCCAGGAGTAACCCCTGTGTATGACCGGGTGTGATCCAAAAAAGAAAAAAAAATAGTGTACTTAAAAACTCCAGTGACTATGCTTAAATCATATGTTAATAGTGTATTTTCCTAACTTGCATAGTTAAGGTATGACCTATATTAATTTTAACTTTGCCCCCCCCTTTTTTTTCTTTTTCAGTATGAAAACCCGTGGACAATCCCAAATATGTTGTCAATGACAAGAATTGGCTTGGCCCCAGTTTTGGGCTATTTGATTATTGAAGAAGATTTTAATATTGCTCTAGGAGTTTTTGCTTTAGCAGGGCTAACTGATTTGGTAAGTTATGACGGACCTCCCCTGTTTTGTTCCCTTTCCAGATGTCAGGATTTCTACTACATTGACCTAGTACAGCCCTAATCTGCTTTTCCTTGGAAGGAAAAGGGATTCAGGTATTCTTCCTGTGCTCAAAAGAAGCAAGTGGAGGGTAACAGGAAGCCTGCAAGAGGGAGCTTTTTCAATATTGGTTTATAACTTTGTTATAAAAGAAAAACCCTTTGAAATAGGGAAGTACTTGCTTTAGGGATAGAAATAAAAGAGAGGGGGCAGAGAGATGGTGCCTGCCGGCGAGGTGCTTGCCTTACATGTGGTTGACCTAGGTTTGATCCACCATGCCAGGAGTGAACACTGCCAGGTGTGACCCAACCTGCTATCCCCCAAACAAACAGGTTTTTTTTTAAAGAAGAAAGAATTTAAAAACCTCTATGGGACTGTTTTTCTTTCCTGTTGTGTTAGCAGTACTCTGACCTATATAATAATTGGTCTTGAGGTGGGGAAAGAAAAGGTGAGCCAGTTGGTGTGACCAGGACTTTTAGAAGCCAGAACTCTGCTCCATGCCCCTGTCCACCTGGCAGAAGGGCCTACCCTGGAAAGGCCCTTCTTTTGTGGGGGAAGGAGGATATATTTGGATTATTTAAAATTGGAATTTGAGAGATTTACTTACATATGTATATGTGTATAGGGGACTGCATTGTGTTATTCCTTGAGGACATCGTTGGAAGTGCCAGGGATTAAGTTCGGGGTTTCACACATGCTAGGCATTTCACTATTTGAACTTTCTCCTTGACCCTGGAAAATAATTTCTTTAATGAAGGCTGTGTTTTATGCATAAGTAGACTTTCGAACTTTAGGTTCACGAAAGAAAGCCTGTCATCTTTAGGTATGATATTACTTGGATTATAAAAGATTCTGTTTCATAAAAGATTTGCAGTGGCTTTCAGAACTACACATCCTATAAAAACACAGTTGAGGACGTGGGAGATGGTGTGTAAATAATTTCAAAATGTGAACAAAATTGTAGAGAAATAGAAATTATTCTTGTTTTAACACTTACTGAGATTTATATAGCCCAGATAGGCAATAATGATTTGGTGCTTCTCCAGACTGGTTAGAAGTTTTGCTTATTATTTGTGAAGAATAAAGAAAAAACTTCATTTCCTTTAATAATTGTATAAAAATAATTAAAAACTGTATAACTCTTAAACCTTCAACTGTTCCCTTTGAAGTTCATAGATACAAAGTTCCACCCACCAGGTAGTGTTGGTGAATAATCTAGAATTAGCTGAAGATATTGCAGGCTCAAGGAGGACTGTTACATGAAATTTCCAAATTTGTAGCAGATAAAGATGGGTTTCGACTCCTGTTGTCACAATTCCTTTCTGTGCTCTCAGTTGCTGCTTTTATCTGTTTTTATCTCTGAAGCTTAGAGACCTCCATTTGTTGTTAAATTGGTGTATCAGTCGGTTAAAAGCCAACTGATAATAGAGATTTTAATGATACAGGAAAGATCATCTTCAGTTACTAAATTTGCTTTTTTATTATAAGAATTTTTTTTATCTTCCACATGAGATTGTAATGAGGAAGGCCCTCATTTACATTTTTTAAAACATATGACAGTGTGTGCGGAAAGTTCAATTAATCGGCACCATGTTTCATGTTTGTTTCATAAAGCCGTTTGATACCTCTAGATTCATTGCCAGGGAAGCACCTGGATTCATGAAGGTGAAAGCAGGGGTGATTTATTATGACTTGGGAAGTAACTCATAGTAAAGCAGGTGTGAAAGAGTCTGGTTAGAAGACTCACAGAGCAGTTGTAGTAACATGGGCTAGAAGTTTATAGAGTTGAAATAAATGGATTTGGGATAGTTTTGTAGTACAGTTGATAACATTGGTGGATTAGATGTATGGGATGAGAGGAAAGCATTAAATAAGACTGGTAGGGTGCTGACTTAGTCTTTTTAAATAAACAGATTCATGATTCTGTAATGGCCAGGCATCAGGATGGGACATGACTTGTGGGAAAAAAACCAGAATTGTGTATCTATCCATGAAGTGGTAAACTGGGTGTTGAATATTGTAGTTTGGAGATGAAGTAATGATTAGAGATAAGATTTGAGAGTTACAGCACATATATACTCAAGTCTGTGAGAAATCATCTTGGTTCTAGTCAAAGAAGACCAGAGAAATAAGCAGTAAGTTGAACAAAGGAGAAAGCAAATAAAAGACACTAAGAAGTAAAAGGTGATGAGAAGAAAATTAGAGATAGTAAGATGCCCCAGAAGTTAGATGAAGAAAATGCTTTTTTTCACTCGGGTTGAGTAAACTGAAAATGCAGAATTCATTGGTGACCCTTGTAAGCACCTTATCTAGCAGAATACAGACAAGGAAGTGTGGGGTGGTAATGTTGTAACCTCATTCTGAGGAAGTTTACTTTATAAGGAAATAGGGTGATGAAGGGTGGCTTTCAGATTTTTGGTTTTGTTTTGGAGCCATACCTGACAATGCTCAGAGCTTACTCCTAGCTCTGCACTCAGGTAATCACTCCTGGTGGTTCTAGGAGACCACTGGGGCACTGGGGATTGAACCTGGTTGGCTGTGTGCAAGTCTAGTACACCTGCTGTGCTATCTCTCTGATCCTGCTTTCAAGATTTAGGTAAACATAAATGCATGCAGAGATAAAGGTAAGGTAAAGGTAAAGGCCCTCCCGTTGATCATCGATTTGCTCGAGCGGGCCCAGTAACGTCTCCATTGGAGACTTTGTTGTTACTGTGTTTGACATATCAAATACTCTCCGTAGCTTGCCGGGCTCTCCGAGAGGGGCGGAGGAATCGAACTCGGGTCGGCCATGTTGGCCGCTTGGAAGGCGAACGCCCTACCCGCTGTGCTATCGCTCCAGCAGAGATACGCACATATAAACATGACAGCTTTTTGTTGTTGATGATAAATAATGAAGTAGAAAGGGAGAAAATGAGGATTCAAGGGAGGTGGGAAAAAAGGAGGCAGATTCTAGGAGGTGAAAAACCCTAAAATCAAGGAAGGGGGTGTGAATGAATGCTCAGAGGTGTAGATTTGGAGTGGGATTATCAAAGAAGTGGAGAAGAGTAATGGATGCAGGAAGATGTGGATTTGAAGGTAGAGCTTTGAGGGTGTCCGAGATTATCTGTTTTGTTTTTCAAGGAGCACCCAATATAGCAGTATGGTCATGAACCTTAGGTGAGGGCTCAGGGGAAAGTGGAGTCAGTTGGAGGTGAGCATAGACAGTGAAAAAAGAAGAAGGGCAGTGGGCAGATGCAGGATTGCCAGGCAGTAGTGGTTACCTGCAAGGATGTCTTTGATCATGAATTTGTGGTGCAACAGGTCAGCCCATTTTTGTGGTTTTCTTTTGAGCAACGTTCAGCCGCTGGTGAGCGGGCCTGGAGCATAGGGATGGTTTTTAACCAGTTGGAGAGATGGTGACGTGAGGAATTTTGCAAAAGAGTAAAAAAGTCAGTGATGAACCTGGAATCTCATGTGGGTCAGTGGAATAGTCAGGATTAAAGATTAGGGGTGTGAAATGAAATCTGAGCCCTCTGGACCACTCCCAGTTCTAGTTCTTTTAGGCAGACATACAGGCCTTTAATATCTTGAGAACAGATTTTCAGTCGTGGAAATCTGTTCATACCCAGTGCTGAACAATTATTAATCACAGCTCTGCCGAGGATACCAATCCTGTGAGGTAGGTGATCTTACCTCACTTTTACAGATGAGGGAACTGAAGCATAGCGATGTCGCACAGTAGGAGACAGAGCCAGAACTAAACCAGATATGTTCTTCCGTAAAGAGGAACTTTTTAGTTTGCCTTTTTTTCTTTTTAAAACAAAAACTTCTTAACCATTGTGTGCTGCTACTGTCTCTTCTAGCTTTACTATGAGAACTTATAGTAAGGAGGACTTACTTAAAATATACCAAGTTGAATTAGACCTAAAGTGATTTCTTAGCACTAGAAAATTCAAACATTCATTGAAGTTCGAAGTGAAATGCGAAATTACTAAAAGCCCAAGTAGGCCTTGGAGAACGAGAAAATGTCAATTTTGCTTAAAGGGGAGAGGTTATAGATCATTTTAGTCCATTTTGTGGCTCCAAGCTTTTCTCAAATGGGCCTGGAGAGCTGGACTTGACCTAAATGTGTGATTTACATGATCAAAAAGAGTTATATTTTCAGTATTTTTTAACCTATTTTTTTTTTGCAGTAGCTGGGTTGTCTTTGATTTCCTGAATGCAAGACATGTGTGTTTACTATTGAGACACGTATTTTAGGTATCTAAGTGTTAGCAACTAATTTATATTTTTGCTTTTTATTTATTTAGTTTTGGGGGCCCACACTCGGTGGTGCCCAGGGCTTACTCCTGGCTCTGCACTCGGGAATCACTCTTCACAGGGCTGGGGGGACCATATGTAGTGCCAGAGATCAAACCCAGGTGTTGGCCTTCTACAAGGCAAGTACCCTAACTGATGTGCTATTGATCTGGCCCAACAACTAAGTTATATTTTTAAAAGCTCCTGTAAGTCAATTCACACCAGCCTCCAGGCTCCATTTGGCCCACTGGCAACCAGATAAGATCTTTGCTTTAAAATGTAATTTGTTGCTAAGAAAAGTGAATAATCTAATTTTTATATCTAAAATCTTTAGTAACCTAGATACAGATAATTGGGTGGGTTTTTTGTTTTGGGGTGGATCACACCTGGTGGTGCTCAGGGCTTAGTAATGGGGGAATTAGAGGAACATATGTGCTACCAGGGATCAAACTAGGGTCAGCTGCATGCAAAGCAAATGCCCTACCCACTACTATCTCTCTAGCCCCAAATTGGTTTTTTATTGTTGTTTAAGTATAGATCATATCAATACAGTTTTCACATTGACCTAATAGTGGCACTAAATAAAAGCAACAGCAAAAAAAAAAAAAGATAGGAACAGTTAAGGCATATTTGATTTTTGGTTTTTGGGTCATGCCCAAAAGTATTAAGGACTTACTCCTGGCTCTTTGCTCAGGGATCACTGCTGGCATTACTTGTGGGATTATATGGGATGCTGGGAATCAAACCTGGGTTAGCTGTGTGCAAGGCAAGTGCCCTCCCACTGCACTATGGGTCTAGTCCTTAACAGTTTTAACTGATTTTTGGGATGGGACTTAGGGCAGAAAGAGCTCAAACCTTGAATGTGCAAGGCCGAGGTTTCACCTCCAGCACTACTGGGTGTGACCCTGGTCGCCTTTCAGCACCTCAGGGAGTGCAGTAACCCAAAATAAATAAATGTATATATATATTTTTTTTCAGTTAGGTTTTCTTGTTTTTAAAGTTAAAGTGATGAACATTGGCTTGCATGGGAGAAACCCCAACTCTGCAGAGGGAGGAGAGGGAGGGAGGGGGGAGGGAGAAGGAGGGAGGCAGTGGATCAGATTACAGAAAAGTAGGTAGGAGTGAGTCTCCAGTCCTTGCAAGTAAAAGCAATAGTTTGGGCTGAACTGAAATTGCCCAAAGTTCAGTTGAAAGAACTCAGTCTATGCTCAGTTAGTCATGCTTTCCCTATGTTTTATTTGGGCTCTTTACAAATCTATAAAATCGTGTCTAAATTAATACCACAGAGGGGCATTATGAATACATTGAGTCCCTGGGAAAGAAAAGTACTGTAGTAAAGCAAAATTATTTTCGGGCCACTTAATTGTTTTTGAAGTTAACATTTACCAGTGTGAGAATGAAGTTTGAAAATACACAAAAGAGACTTTATATACATTTTATAAAAATTATAGTTATTATTCTGGCATTTCTTAACCTCAAAATAACCTACTCTGTACCTGTCATGACATTTACTGAAAACACTTCTATTTTCAGTTGGATGGATTTATTGCTCGAAACTGGGCCAATCAAAAATCAGCTTTGGGAAGTGCTCTTGATCCACTTGCTGATAAAATACTTATCAGTATCTTATATATTAGCTTGACCTATGCAGATCTTATTCCAGGTAAGAACGCCAAAATGCGTCTTTTTTAAATAGCACAAGGAAGAACAATGTTAGTCAACTTAGGATTTCTCTTGATCGAGACAAATAATTTTTGTTCTAAAAATACATTTTTCAGTATAACCTCTTCCCTAATTTTAAATTATTGAACTGTTTTGCTTGTCAAGCTGTTTTAATTTAAAATTTATGTTCATGTTATGCTAGTAGAATCCACTGCTTTCTTAGTAAAAGTGTTTAAGTTAAAGTTGAGCAGCTATTATTTCACAGTGCCAATTTGTATTATTCCAGAATCTTTGGAAGTCATGATATATTCTTAGTATCTAGGCTTTTGAAAACAACTTGTTTTCCTAAGAATATCATCTTAATATAATCATAATAGAGTTATGAAATTTAAAAGATGTATATACAGTTGCACTTTTATTACTTATACACAGTTTCAAATCATAAATTATGCATTTTGTAGATATTCTTTATGAAAAATTTTCATGATCTTTTGCTTTGCTTTGCAGTACATCTTGAGTTTATTTTCTTTCTTAACTGTATTTCTGTTTTTCTCCCTTGGTTAGATTAAAGAATGTGTTTTGGTTTTGCTTTTATTTTTATTTTTGGACCACACCTAGTGGTGCTCAAGATTACTCCTGGCTCTGTGCTCAGGGATCACTCCTGGCAGGCTTGGGGGCCGTATGGGCTAACAAAAATTGAACTCAGCTTTGCTGTGTGCAAGGCAGGCACCATGCCCTCTGTGCTATCTCCAGCATTTATTGCTAATTTTTTTAATTTCCAGAGCAGTTATGTTCTAAATGTTCTCTTTAAATTTTTTTTTCTTTCATCACTATCATTTAATATGTCTGTAAAAGATCTTATTTCATATATTTCTTTCTGAACTTATTCTTTTTCTGGTTATTTTAGTCTCTTATGGTAAAGACTTACCTGAAATATCTGGTTATCCTTGTCAACTCTGATATGTGGGGATACCCTTCAGTAATTGGTGGGTTTTGTTGCATGCCTGTGGAATAATTAATTAGGCAGAAGAAGCCATGATCCTGAATTCCTGACAACTTTAGGGCTCTTCTGGAGAAGAAAGCATTTTGGATGCTAAGCTATGGGGGGAACTGGGCGATGGGCGGAGACGGTCTGTGTCTTATTATGCTGACCATGCCTGGACCTGGACCGCACTTTGCTAGTGTCCCCTGCTTCAGAGAGAAACATAGAGGATGGGTTGGTAAGCTTAGTTCAGGGCCAGAGACTGTGTTTGGCTTTGCGGACCATGTGGACTTTGTTACACTTAGCTCATCGCTACTATTAGACTATGAAAACAGCCCTAAAAATAGAGATGAATGAATATGGCTCTGCTGCAGTTAAATTCTGCTGATGGACACGAGATCGAATTTCATATCTTGGGAAACAACACTCCTTTGACCTCATTTTCTCAATACCCCTCTTCTTTTTCCTTTTTCTGTGGTGCATGGGAAGGAGCCCAGGACCTCAGATTTGCAAGGCAAGTGCTTCAGAGCCCATCTGCTTATGTTCACAATACCAGAGAACTAGCCACGCCCTGGGGGACTCCATAGGCAGGGCACCAGGCTGGGGACTGGGAGCTAAACAAGAAGTCAAAGCTGGAAATTTCCTTCCCTCCCCCACCCCTCCATTCTCTGGGTGATTTTTAAGCCCTTTACTTTCATCATAGGAGGGATTTGAGGGCAGATGTCAGGTGTCTGTGTGCAATCTTGACCTTATTTTTGTTCTGAAGTTTTGTAAGTTTTCATCCCTCTTTATTTGTTTTTATTTATTTATTTATTTACTTTTTTTTTTTAACCCCTGGCGATGCACAGGGGTTATTCCTGGCCCTGCACTCAGGAGTTACTCCTGGCGGTGCTCAGGGGACCATGTGGGATGCTGGGAATCGAACCCGGGTCGGCCGCGTGCAAGGCAAATGCCCTACCCACTGTGCTATCTCTCCAGCCCCTCATCCACCTTTATTTGAATGGCCTTGTTTCTTCAAGAGTAAGACATTTGCTTTCTTCATTAGTTAGGGTGGTAAATGTACTTTTTTTTGCTCCTTGTAGGTAGGAGAGATGGATTAAAAAGAAATTCTGGTTTGTTATATTTCTAACTGTGTAAGTTGTGAATCTAAGTTAATTTCTGCTTGTATATGTGCATTTCTTCTGTTACATTTGCCAAATGCAATATTTTTCCCCGGTATATCATCATACTATTTCTGACTTACTATAAAGGAAATTTCAATTGCAGGTTTAAATCAATTTCTAAGATAACTCTCTTTTTTAATGTATTCTCAATGCAATAACCTAGGATGTTGAAAATCACTTTAATCTGTAAAAGTTACTTAGCACTGTCCTCCCATTGTTCATTGATTTTCTCGAGCAGGCCCAGTAACATCTCCATTGTGAGACTTTGTTGTTACTGTATTTGGCATATTGAATACGTCATGGGTAGCTTGCCAGGCTTTGCCGTGTAGGCGAGATACTCTCAGTAGCTTGCCAGACTCTCCGAGAGGGGCAGAGGAATCAAACTCGGGTCAGCCAGGTTGGCCACATGCAAGGCAAACGCCCTACCCGCTGTGCTATCGCTCTAGCCCAAAGTCACTTATTTTTTTAAAAATTACTTTCTTCTAGTGCTAAAAATGAATTTGCCCATAACTTTCTTCCTTGTACAGATATTAGCTACATAGAAAATGTATGTTTCAGACAGTCCTAGCAAGTAGGAAGAAAACCTTGAGACCATCCCTACACCATCCATCTTTACTATGTTAGGCAGAATGAGAGCTCTTTTAACCCTGGGGAAGAGGGAAGGATTGGCCAGGAGTGGAAATAGGAATATTTTGCAGATGCAAAACGGGAATAGGATAAAATGCCCTGCCATCCACCCCCCAAAACAGCAAAGTGAGAGTGTGTAAATCCTTAGAGACTGTCACAGTCAGGTTCCTGTCTCCACCTTCACCTCCAGGCACACCCAGGGAGGGTCTGGGCTTTCACAGTTCCAGAGTGGTCCTGAGAGGGGAGGTTTGGGGAACTGAATCAGACATCTGAGTCTGCAATTGCTGAGTCAGTGCTTGAGACAATCCCTGGAGCTCAGGTTGTGAAATCCTAGTGGTTTTCTGCCTCAGGTTCTTGGACTGTTGTCAGTTGGCAAGTACAACAGGTTGGAAACTACTGCCTGAAACTGAGGTTTCCCTCCTGGGTGTTCTGTTTAGTCTCTGGGGACCTTGGCCAGGCTCCTTATTTGCAAAACAGTGATAATGATGGTTCCCTATTGATAAAGTTAATTTGAAAATTAAATGACTTGTTTAAATGCTTAGAACAATCGAGCTGCTCATTAAATGGCAGTCTTGGTAGTTAATAGCTGCAACCAGGAGCGGCTCAGTTATATTGTATGGAATTAAGCTCGTTCCTTCTACAGAAACCTCTTACTTAGGACTAAATCCTATTCATTTTTTCCCCTGTGGACATGATATACAGTAACTGCTTTCTATTACACTCTGTTGACATTTATTGTATATGATTTGCTGCATTTGAAAATGTGGTTGTAATCAGTTTGCTGATTACTACAGGAAAGTTAGTTTTAAACATAAATCTTCCTAAAAGTCATGGTCGGTTGCTTTTGTTCTGGCTGATGGCTATGTTTTTGCTGCTGAAAATGATAGCACTTGAGCAGATAAGCATTTCCTCTTGGGAGCAGTCTTTTTTTCCTCTGTCCTTTAGGACTAGGTTAAGGTTCAAAGTTTAGAGCTGTAGGCCAGGGTGCTGGTCACTGGTTGATTACTTAACTTGCATATGTGAGGCCCTAGGCTTGATCCCTGCACTGCAAGACCAAACCCTTACTTAAGACTGTGCCCAGTGGAGAATTTAATTTTTAAATCTGTATATAATTAGATTTTGTTCAAGTTACTGAGCCAAAAGAATGTCGAACCAGAAAGTACATGTAGATACAGATATGTGATATAGGAGCTGTTTGAAAGGGGGAATAGAATGGTAATGATCATTTATTTTAGTAATGAAAGTGTTTTATACTGTTGACCTTAAGCTTCCTCCCCCTTTCTAAAGTCTTTCTTCCCCTCTCCCCCATTATAAAAGCGGTGTATGTTTATAGTTAAAACTTTTTGTAGCACTAGACAGGAGGGAGTAAAATGAAACAAGTCCTCTTCCCTCATGTTCTCTTTCAACTAGGGTACAAGAATTTTCTGGGTAACCCTCTAAAGTATCTTATTGGCTCTCACAGTCGGGTCATGTTGTGGTACCCGAGGAGTTAGGAGAAAACAGACCGAATTCATGTTTAATGAGAATTCATTGACCCAGTGAGGAAGGAAGATGTAGGAATTGGCCAGACAAAAATGTAAAGCCAGCTGTACTGTTCATGGAGTTGTCTTGAGTGCAAAGAAGCAAAGCAGCCAGATTCCCTAGCTTCTCTTGGCGTCTGCTGCCATCCCTTCCAAGCTCATGGCCTTGTCTTCCATGTAATGAATGTGAGAGTAGTGACGCTTTTTCTGAGGTAACAGAGGAGATAGTGGGGCTGGGCAGAGCTTACACTGGCTGCTAATAAGCAAGTTAAAAACAAGCAAGGGAAAATGAGTGCATCAGTATTCCAAAAGGCATCAATAATTTGAAAAGCTGAATTAGACTTACAGGTAGTGATCTGTGCTTTGTTTTGAGAGCATGCTTGAGAAGAATATACACTTCAGTGTTTACTATATTTCTTATGTGAAGTAGCAATTTATGGTAACTGAATGAAATGTCATTTGTATGTGGTGTAATGTCTTAATTTTAAAAATCCCAATAAAGTTATTTTATATTTAATTTCCAGTTTCACTTACTTATATGATAATTTCAAGAGATGTAATGTTGATTGCTGCTGTTTTTTATGTGAGATACCGAACTCTTCCAACACCGGTGAGTTTATTTTTTTTTAATTCTTTTATACTACGTGTAACTTCAAATAAAACCTTTCTATTGCATACTAACTTTCATTATATAGCAATAATTTATTACAGTTATTTTCTAATCCAGTTGTTAAGAATTTTTTTTTTCTCCCCACACACTCCCAGTTGTTAAGAATTTTTTTAAATTGTGTCTGTATGTCATCTTGCTGTGCTCAATGGCCATAGAATATTATGTCCATGTTCAGAAAATTGAAAAAAAAGCATGTTTTTGTTTTTAAGTGAAAAATCTTTCAACTGCTGCTCTTAATTGTTCATATAAAAAGGTAAAGGCCCTCCTGTTGATCGTCGATTTGCTCGAGCGGGCCCAGTAACGTCTCCATTGGAGACTTTGTTGTTACTGTGTTTGGCATATCGAATACTCTCGGTAGCTTTGTTCATATAAAAACATATAAAAACTTAGGCATATAAAAACTCAGACCAGGGGTTGGAGAGAGAGTACTGTGGAAAGGGCACGTGCCTTGCATGCACCCAACCCAGGTGCTATCCCATGTGGTTTTTATCACACTGGCACCCTCTATGGTCTCCTGATCCCCGCCAGGAGTAAGCCCTGAGCACAGCTGGATGTGGCCTGGAAACTTTGAGGGGAAAAAAAACCCACAAACCAAGTAGTCCCATCCCTAATAACAAAATCTGTTTGTAGTTTTTGCATAATCAAGCCTCTTTTTCTAATTAACCTGCACTGTGGGTGCTGTAGAATGGATCTTTTTACTGTCTTGTTGTTGTTTCTGATTTGGTTTTTTCGGCCTATACCCTGCTGTGCTCAGGGCTCACTCACTTCGGGGCTCAGGTGACCATATGGGGTGGCAGGGATCAAATCCTGGTGGGCAGTGTGCAAGGACAAGCACCCTACTGCCATGCTATTTTTCTTCTCCCTAGAATGGATCTTTTAAGCCTCATTTGTATGAGTATGGAATGTTTTATATATATATATATGTCTATTCAACATATTTCAGCTTAGAAGCATGGTATGATAACCTCAGTTTTGTGTGTGAAAATAACATGTTGATTTGCTTTTAGTCTATAAGAGAAAACAGTGGTAAGGGAGTTTTAGTAAAACGATATGATCAAGCCGACTTGATAGCTTTTGGTTTGAAATTTTATAGAAAGTGAAAACAACTATATATAAACTGAAAAAATAACTGATAACCTGTATCTGTTTTATAAGGATGTACATATTGTTCATAGAATAGGTTTTTGTTTTTGTTTTTACTGCAAAAGGCCTTATCTAATATAGAATGAAACATGTGGTTAGTACCCAGTAACTGTTATGTATAACAGAATGTTTGTCTTAAATTTGAAATATAAATTTTTGTTCTTTCCTCCTCTGACAGCGAACACTTTCTAAGTATTTCAATCCTTGCTATGCCACTGCTAGATTAAAACCAACCTTCATCAGCAAGGTAAGAGACATGTAACCTTCTTGAGGGATTGTCCTCTTAGCAATTTTTATTATAGTAAGTGTAGGTGATAGGTTGTTCGATTCTGCTCTGTGTGGTAGACTAATTCATTCTGTCTCACAGTGCATTTATTGAGTGGCGTTGAGCTTCAAACCCATGGCTTTCATGCAGAACATGTGCTCTGCCACTGAGCTCTGAATACGAGACAGGTTTGCATGCATTGACTGTAGGTGGGAAGCAGTAGGGTCATTCACCCCCTGTGGTCTTCAGCCACCACATCCCAGTTCTTTTGTCCTCCCAGGATTTTTGGATTGGTCATTAAATGCATTGTGTTCTGTGTCAGTGGTCACACACGTTAGTCTGAGTGAGGTACTGAGGTCGCCACTTAAGTAAGGTATAGAGGGTGACACTGTAATTTCACTTTGCTTGAGACGCAGAGAGACTATGAAGGGTCCTTTCTGGCTCCTCTGCCCCGCTCCCTGCGGTGAAGCTACCATGGAAGTCCTTTCATTGTCAAGACGAATTTTTGTGTGGATGGGAGTGAAGGAAGTCTTACTAATGAACAGCTGCTACTTGGAGTTATTCATCCTGTTTCCCGAGCCTTTTCCAGGGCAATGACTGTTGCTTGTCGTAGTGCAGAGAGGTCACTGTTAGTTCCTTTCGAGGTAGATTTGTTTCTCTGTTCTACCAGCCCTCATAGTTTTCTCTACTCACTCCTTCACTCCATCCCTGTGTTAGAAGCTTAACAGCATAGGGAGGCTGGTCATCTGTAGAATAGGGAGGTTACTTTCATGCTACAGTACTTCCTGAGGAGGATTTGCGTAGAGTTTTTGGTTTAGATTAAAACTGATTTATGTTTGTATCAAATGCAATGGCTTAAAGAGGTTTTGTGACAAATACCTCAAATTCTTATCCTTGCAACAAGAAATCCTGGCAATTCTAGTAAACTTAAAATGAAGTAGTCTTTGCCCTTCGACTGCAGAATTTAGGCCAGAACGGGTGCTTTTGGACGCCTCACCTGCCTTCAGTGACATTGACGGCCCTTCTGAGTGAATGCCAGCCTCCAAGGCAGAACTGACCACACCTCAGGCCTGCTGAGGGATGGTCTGTTTCTGTGCGCGCCAGTGCCTTTGTCTCTGCCTTTCATTGTCAAGACGAATTTTTGTGTGGATGAGAGTGAAGGAAGTCTTACTAATGAACCTGAAGCGGCACCCCTCACTCTGCTGCTCTTTTTTAGGTAAACACAGCAGTGCAGTTGATCTTGGTGGCAGCTTCTTTGGCAGCTCCAGTTTTCAATTATGCTGACAGCATTTATCTTCAGATACTGTGGTAAGCTAAATTTGGGATTACTCTCTGAGACTGTCAACAAAAATACTGTGACAGTGCATGGCATTACTTTGTTGTGCATTGATTGGGTGAAGCTATATGCTTTGTTTTTAACTCCCCCACCACCACCACCACACACACACACCCCTTTTTGTTTGTTACATCTGACTGTTTAGGGCTTATCCTGTCTCTGCACTTAGGGATCACTCTTGGATGGGCTTGGGAAATGTGTCAAATTCAGACTTTCTGAGTCTGAATTACGCTGTACTTAAAACCTTGCTTTATATAGTCTGAACCACAAAATGGTTGATTAAATCAAAATCAAATCCAAGAAACCTTAAAAAATTATGCATATAATAAACATTTTGTCTAAAACTACATTTAAGGGGCCAGAGAGAGAGAGTACAACAGTTATGATGCTTGTCTTGCACACTGCTGACCCAGGTTCAATCCCCGGCATCCTGTATGGTTTCTGAGCATTGCCAGGTGTGCAGCCCCACCAGAAAATACATTTAAGTACATTTGTTCTGAGTGGCAGGACCAATCCCTTTCCTTTGAATAGCTTCATCGGATAGGGTTTCCTCTCTCCTTCCCTTCCTTCCTTCTATCCTTCCTTTCTTTCCCTTACCCTCCCAGCAATGCTCAGGGCTTACTCCTGGCTCTGTGCTCAGGAATCACTCCTGGCAGGGCTTGATCGACCATATAGGATGACAGAGATCAAAACTAGGTCAGCTACCTGCAGAACCAGTGCCCTACATTTTGTACCATCACTCTGGCCACCAGGTTTTCTTTCTTGAATAAAGAAGCAATTCTGCTTTCCATCTTTTTATAAGTTCAGCAGGTTTTGTGGTTTTGTTTGGGGTTTTTTGTTTTGTTTTTGTTTTTTGTTTTTTGTTTTTGCTTTTTGGACACCCGCAATGCTCAAGTCTTAATCCGGGCTCTGCACTCAGGAATTACACCTGGCAATGCTCAAGGGACCATATGGAATGCCGGAAATCAAACTGGGGTTGGCCACATGCAAGGCAAAAGGCCCTACCCGCTGTAGTATCCCTCCAGCCCAATTTTCAACAGGCTTTGAGCAGTATCATATATGTATTTTCAAGAGAGAATTTGGGTAATCTGGAAATTTGGCTAAGAAAAAAATAAGGACGAACTAAAATTATTTTTAAAATCCCTCGGATATCAGAATTCTCCACCTGCAGAAGATAAGTCAGCACTCTCTGCGGCACAGAATAGTGGAAGGAGCACGTGATTTCGAGGTGATGAGACTGAGCCAAGCTCGGGCATCCTCAGCCCTGGGCTCAGGATCAAACCTGAGTTGGCCACTGCTGTAGTTACTCTCTGTACTGTCTCTCCAGCCCCAGCTTAGATGGATTCCCTTGGTGACTGTTTTTCAGAGTTGACAACTAAGTTTTCCTTCTTTCCTTTTTTCCAAAGGTATTTTACAGCTTTTACCACAGCTGCATCTGCTTACAGTTATTATCATTATGGTCGGAAAACTGTTCAGGTAATAAAAGGCAGATGAAAGTTAGCCATCATCATTCACAAGGAAGCAATATTCATCATCGGCAGCAGGGCCAGTGGTAATCTACAGGAGTTCTCCTATTTCGGTGTTCAGCTTGAAAAAGGACTTGTCAGAACAAACCATGTCATCAAAATTTAAGTAATGTGCATTGAAAATCAGCTTGATCATGGGCAAATGCAAAATTTGCAATGTATTTTTAAATACAAATAAAACTATAATTTAGAATTTTTTTTTAATCTTAGGTTTATTGATTAATTTGTAAGGTACCAGTTATTATCTGTCATTTTAAAACATTGGGAAAAAAGAGAGTCATGGCATGGAAACTCAAGAGTTGCCATTTCTCCTTCAGTAGAATTTAGGTTCTTCATGAAGTACTATGGTATTTCCTGGGCTTAAAGATACATCCCACAGCTTGGCTATGCAATTTTTTGTTTGGTTTTTAGATTTACGTGCACATTTATGGTTCTCGTGGTTAATATTTGATCGTTTAGGGTATTGACAGTAACGGTTAGCTTAGTTGTGGTTGATAAAGAGGTTTAAAATGCATTGTTTTGAAAATGAGAAGCTGGAAGTAGAAGATATTGTTTCCTATTTAGTAGTTTCCCAACCTCTCAGGTACCAAGTTTATGTGTCAGGATGAGTGATGTAGACTAGGAAGCACGGCCACTGGACCGTCCAACAGGCAGTGCATTACGCCAGGCCTTCACACTGTTTTTAAAGTAGCAATGTTTGTATGATATTGGAACCTACACTCATGTATGTAAATAATATGAAACTGTATATTTTTCAAAAGTTTTTTAAACTTTGGGGGAATCTTTTGTTAAAATGTTGAAACAATAAAAGCTGGGAGGAAAAAATGGATTACTCTGGCTTGGGTTACTCTATGGCATTCTGTAGTCCTTGCTTATTGTGTGATTTTTCTGCTTCAAAATCTGTACAGCTATGTCACTGACAGTGATATTGTATGAAGAACTGGTTTGGGCTCACTGAAAGCCTGCCCTTTTACTACTTCTTGTTTAGGAGTGTCAGTCAAGGATAGCGGTGAGCTGGCTTCTTCCTCTTAACGGGGAGGACTGTTGGCCGCCCACTGTCCCAGGGATTGGTCAGCCACTCATGGAAGCCTCCAGTGAGTTCCAGGGACTCCAGTTCAATCCCTGTAACCGCTCACACACCCCGTGTAGCCCCGCCAGGTGTAGCCCTGGAGGCCCCTGAGCACTGCCAGGAATGGCCCTGGGGGGCCCTCCAGCATTACAGGGCTCCAGCAGCATTGAATCCTCAGACACTAGCCCTGAATCACCAGCCCAGCTGGCTAGATATCACCAGGCGTAACCCCAGGGCTCCCTGAGCACTGCTTGGGAGACTTCCAAAGATGAAATACAAAGGTAGGTCAGAAGCAAAACTCAAGCCTCTTGACAATTGCATCCTTGCATTAGAATAACCTGCAGCTTGCGGGTCTGCCAGAACTTGGGACATACTGATGCCTGGTGCCAGGGTCACTGTCTTGGGAAGTGGTGAGGAAATGGAGGAGTGGAGACTGGCTCACCCTTCTCTCCTTCTCGAACCTTCCATACAGTCTCAGAACTTAAGGAGGCCTCATGAGGCTGGAATTGGAAGTTCCATGTGGTACAGTAAATATCAGCACTAGCAAAGCATGAGTACACAGAATTTTTATAGGAGCCATACTATGTTGGGGGTTCCCAGGACCCCTTCTGGCAGACCTAGGCCTGAGGCCCTTGGGTGTTTGGTACTTTGGTATTCAGGAGCCACCAGGGTCATACCCGGTGGTGCATTGTAGAGCCACAGATAGTGGGGTTCAAACTCAGCCTTGCACTTGCTAGGCATATGCTTTAACATTTGTTCTCTCTCCCCAACTCCTTCCCTCCACCCCTTGGAAATACTTTTAAAGGGGAGAAAGTATTCATAGGGAAAATTAGAATTGTGTCTTGTGTTTGCTTATGCTTTAGTGCTATTTGGATTGACACGGATGCATAGATGGCGTGGACCAAGAGGCTTTAGTATTCAATTCTTAATCTAGTGCTATTAATACTTTCTCCACTTCAACTCTTAGAAAAATGATGCAAGTCTACCAAGGTTTTGAATATTCTAAAAAAAATTCTGCTAGTTTACAAAACATTAAAATTCAGCATGTAATTTTCATATACACAGAATGGCATGACATTCATTGTGCTGCTTTCAGTGTAACAGCAAAACGACATTTAATTACTACACCTCTGACTGTTCCTATGTAAATTAAGTCTTTGTTTGCAGTTATTTTTGTTGTGGTGGTGGTATTGGGTTTGCCCAGAGATGCTGGACATTGTGCTTGAAGTTGTACCCAGGATTGAAACATTGATCCATACCCCTAAGGCCTTTTTCATTATTTTTATTGTGTTTGTTTTGAGCCACACCTGACTGTTCAGGGGTTACTCCTGGGAAGTGCTCTGGAAACTACCCCGAAGTGGATTGAACCCTTGTTGCAAGCTAGTAAAGTGCCTTACCCTCTGTATTAATCTCTTAAGCCCCTGGCCTTGCAATTTTAATTAGGAGCTGGTAGATACCTTTTACACCACCTATTCTGATTCTCTTGGTTATCTAAGTGACAAAACATCCACACACATTGGATTTATTTTTCTCTTTCTTTTCTTTTTTTTTTTCTTCTTTTAAACTACACCTGGCTGTGTTCCAGCGTTCCAGGCTTACTCCTGGCTCTGTACTTAGGGATCATTAATTTGGTTGCTCAGGGGACCTTAGGCAGTGCGGGGATTGAACCCTGGTTGACTGCATGCAAAACAAGTGCTTTACCCACTGTTCTCTAGCCCTTCACCTTGGAATTTGGGGGAGCTTTTTCCAAACTTAGAAATATTTAGTGTGGGAGCCGCAGTGATAATAATAAGCAGGTGAGGCAATTGGCATGCAGCTGACCCAGGTGCAATCTCCGCCTTCCCATATTGACCCCAGAGCAAGCCAGGATTAATTGTATTTATTTATTTTTTTTTTTTAGGTCACACCTAGCAATGCACATGGGTTACTCCTGGCTCTGCACTCAGGAATCACCCCTGGCGGTGCTCAGGGGACCATATGGGATGCTGGGAATCGAACCCAGGTTAGCCGAGTGCAAGGCAAACACCCTATCCACTGTGCTCCAGCCCCCCCCCCCCAGGATTAATTTTTGACGTGAACCAAAAACCCAAAATTTAAAAAGTGTTATGGGACTAGAGCTATAATAAGCAGATAGGGTGTTTACCTTGCACACAGCCCACTTGGGTTCGATCCATGGCATCTCATGGTCCCCCAAGCACCACAGAATTCCTGAGTGCAGAGCCAGGAGTAATCCCTAAGCATTGCCGGGTGTGACCCAAAAAGAAAGCAAAAAAAAAAAAAGTTGGATCGGAGAGATAGTTCAACAGGCTGCATCTGATCAGGCACATGCTTTGTACACAGGAGGCCTCCTTTTCATCCCCAGACAGCATGGTCCCCTGAGCATTATATGTTGTACCCATCCCCTCCCCCAGTTTTAAAAAAATAGTCTTTTTGTATGTCTCACAAGTGTTCACAGGTTACAGTCAAACGTCTAAAACCAGAAGCACATTTCCTCCCATAGCCTGAAATGGAATTAAAAAACTTGAGGCCTTCAAGAAGCATTGTAGTTCTGCTCTCTCACCCCAGGTCTCAGATTAAAAATTCACCCAAGCCAATTCTTGAGTAATCACCGTCTTAACTGGAGCTTGGCCAGGAGGAGCTTCCTTGAGGATGTCCCTCCTTCTAATCACTAACGTGGCAGCAGTTGGACCATGAGATTTCTGTGTTCTGTAGTTCTGCTTCCAACATCATTGTCCTGGGTGGGGGGAGTGGGGGAGTGACTGCTGAAAAGGCCAAAAAAGAAGGAGACACGGAAATGGAATTGCTGGGTCATACAGATGCTGAATTCCTAGTCATTTGAAATGTCCGTTTTGTTTGCCGCAGAGGTTGAACTTGTCAACATTCTCACTAGCAGTGGATGAAAGTTCCTTTTCCCCCCCATTCACGCCAAGCTTTTGCCTTTATTTTTGATGTCTCACTGGTGTGAGGTGATAATCTGATTGTTTTGATATGCATTTTCCCTAAGTGGTGAAGAGCCTTTTTTCCCCCCATACATCCACTGGCCATCTATCCACTTGAAATCTTTTCATCTCTTTCCCCCATTTCTGGACGGAATTTTTTTGGTTATAAGTTTATCTGAGGGTGGTGGCTAAGAGCGGTCCTTGGAACATAGGTGAAGAGAAGCAGACACTGGCGGTGGGTGCGGTGCTGGAACGATGTATGCATGCAGGAAATCTAATCACGGAGCTTCAAATTTAAAAAAAAAAAAGTTAAAACACACAAATGCCCAGCAGCGATGGGAGTGGGCTGGTATAGACAGGTCCTTTCAGGGAACAGACTTTGACACTTTAGGAAGAGAAGGCAGTCCATCGAATGAGATGCTCAGCGCAGCTGCAAGGGCCTGGCGCGTGTGCCCGCAGCTTGCTGATTTCCCAGGCGGTCCAGGCCCCGCAAAGCTGACGCGGGCGTCTCAGACCGTCCGTTCTCGTCCTTTGTGCAACATCCCCAAAGTGGGTCCGCTTGGAGCTGGGGAAACGGGGCTAATTCCAGGTCTGGAGCCGGAGCGGGTAGTCGAAGGCGGGGTTTTTGTAGGCCACCAGGTGAGTGTCGCAGCGGCGCGGGCCGGGCGCGCGGGCCCGCCGGCAGAGGCATACGGACAGCACCAGGGTACTGAGCAGCAGCAGGCCGGAGGCGGCGGCCAGGCCGGCCAGGAGCAGCGGCCAGCTGGGCTGGGTGCGGAAGGCGCCGCAGGCCCCGCTCGCGTCCACCGCCTGCAGCGGGCTACGGCCCGCGCGGTTGGCCGCCAGCACGCACACGCGGTACGCGGTGCCCGGCGCCAGCCCGTACAGGGGATGCTGCCGCGCTGTGGCGTAGATGCCCTCCACCGCCCACGACTGGTTCCCGTCGTCGCGGTACAGGCGGATCTCGTACGCGCGCACCACCGAGTTGGGGGCGCACCAGCTGAGCAGCGCCGACGTGTCGCGGATCTCCGACACCCCCAGCAGCTTGGGGGGCTCGGGCGGGGCGTCGTCCCCGCTGAGCCCTGGGCACCGGCACCGCAAGCGCCTCTGCAGCTCGGCGCACGGGGTCTGCAGATGCTTGCAGGGCTGGTAGTCGCAGGCCGCGGCCAAAGCTGGGCCCCGCACCTCCGCCGCCGTCCCCTCCCCAACCTCGCTGGCGTCCCCGTCCAGCAGCAGGACCCCGATGCCGCCCGCCGACGGGGTCTGCGCGGGAGCCGGCGGGGGGCGCCGCGTCCTTCGGGAGTTCCCGGGTTTCGGCCGTTTACTGGCCGTGGGCCCGGTGGCAGCGGAGAGGTTTGGTCCGAGCTGGGTCGCGAGTTCTTGGCGCTCTGTCACCGCGGGCCCCCCGAAAGGGAGGTGGGGGGTGCTGGGACCCGTAGTCCAGGGGGTCGGGGAGCCAACAGCCAGCTCCCTGGCATCCTTGTGGGCATCTGCCGCGACGGTGGGGGGCTTGGTGCCATTCTGTCGGGTTGGGCCCGGCGGGGCAGAGAGGATGTTGGCAGCTGGTGCGTGCGTGGAGCTTCCCACCGAGGGGAGACTGGCATCGCGCGGGGTGGTGCTTTGCTCCGCTTGGCACACTCCGGGCAGCTGTGAGAGCGCAAGAGGGGTTGAGAAGGTTCCCCCGGGGTTCGTGCCATCAGCCGGGGCGCACAACGTGTCTGCAGGCCTGGAGGGAAAGCCAACGCGTTAGAAAGTTGGCAACAGGGCTGCTTCTGTGCTAGGATCTGAGTGATCGGTGCAGACCTTCCCCTCTTTGTGAAGTCTTGTCAGCAGCCCTGCCTGGAACACTTGGGTCCCTGCCTGTGCAGTTCATTCATACCCATCCTCCGGAGCAGAAGAAAGTAGGAGCCAGCAGGCACTTGCTCCACCGGGTTTGGCTCCCCCTGCAACGTATAGTCCTCCGAGTACCGCCAGAGGCCGCTCCTGAGCAGTCAGGAAGAGACCACCAGGAGTAGCACTGGGTGCAGCCCCCAATCAAGTAAATAAAACAGAACCTGGGGGTATGGTGCCCCCAGCAGATCAATCTGTACCTGTGAGGCGAGTGCATCAGGAGCCTGATGGTGCATTCGGACTTCCAGATACCCCAAAATTGCTGCTGTGCCTTTGGCCAGACCCCAAAAATTTGTGGCAAAATTTACCAAGCTAGTAAACAGCCAAAAGTTAGGTATGTGGGAGACACACCCACAAACCACCTCCGGCTCAGCTATATAATTATAGGCATGGTCTCTCTGGTTACTGATTGAACTGCTTAATGGCCATGATCCCAGAGACTCAGAAACAAATCTCGAAACCCAGCGGCTTTTGGCAGAAATAGTCCTGACCACGCAGTAGGTTACTGTTGCCAGGCCACCCCAGGGGGGAAAGGGTGCTCCACCTGCTTCTCCCTGGCGGCTCAGTGGCCTTCATCCTCCAGAGGCCATTGGACAGTCAGGCTTGGGCCCGCAGTGACGAAACTTGTTGGGCCTCACAGGATGGGGGGAGCCGGACCTGTCCTCCCCATCCCAAGGAGACCCCAAGTCATCACCCACGAATGGCCTCTCTGGCTCCTGATCAAGCTGCTTAACGGCCATGATCCCAGAGACTCAGAAACAAATCTCGAAACTCAGCGGCTTTTGGCAGAAATGTGTCCTGACCACGCAGTAGGTTACTGTCGCCGGGCCACCCCAGGGGGTAAAGGGTGTTGTCCCTCCGCCTGCTCCCTCTTGGCGGCTCAGTGGCTGTCATCCTCCAAAGGCCATTGGACAGCCAGGTCTGGGCCCACAGTGACGAAACTTGTTGGACCTCATGGGATGGGGGTGGAGCTGGGCCTGTCCTTCCCCACCCCAATGAGACCCCAAGTCATCGCCCACGAACGGCCTCTCTGGCTCCTGATCAAGCTGCTTAATGGCCATGATCCCAGAGATTCAGAAACAAATCTCGAAACCCAGCTGCTTTTGGCAGAAATGCGTCTGGACCCCTCAGTAGGTTACTGTTGCTGGGTCACCCCAGGGGGGAAAGGGTGCTGTCCCTCCACCTGCTTCTCCCTGGCGGCTTGGTGGCCGTCATCCTCCAGAGGCCATTGGATAGTCAGGTCTGGGCCTGCAGTGACAAAACTTGGTGTGCCTCACGGGATGGGGGTGGAGCCGGGCCTGTCCTCCCCGTTCCAAGGAGACCTCAAGTCATCGCCCACGAACAGACTCTCTGGCTCCTGATCAAGCTGCTTAACAGTCTTGATCCCAGAGACTCAGAAACAAATCTCGAAACCCAGCGGCTTTTAGCAGAAATTCCTCCAGATTTAGGTGTTAAAATTTCAGAATTTCAAAATCACATGGCCCTACTGCAGCCACGTGACATCATGTTATTCATAACCAGCAATAGAAAACAAATTGTCTACTGTTGCCTTTTCAGCAGATCTGAGTGTTGGGGTAAAATCTCAAATAATAATGGTGGGTCCGGTGTCGAAATATTGAATGTGATTGATCCAAGTAGAGAGAGAGTAATGTGGAAATCATCTGCCCCACAGGTAGGGGGAGGGTGTGGGATGGGGGTATACTGGGGCTTTTGGTGGTGGAGAATGGGCACTGGTGAAGGTACGGGTGTTTCATTGTATGACTGAGACTTAAACCGAAAGCTTTGTAACTGCTCTCATGGTGATTCAATAAATAAAATTATAAAAAAATGAAAAAAAAAGTAAGGTGGAGTTAATGCCCAATTCAATCATCTAATCAGTGGCTGAATAAATAGCAGTACTCCTACATAAAAGAAGGAAAAAAAAAACAGAACCCACCTCCTGCCCTTATCATCCCCACTGGGCTGAGAAGAACGTGGCAGCTCAGAAGGAGGAACCCCCTGCTGAGATACCACGGCCCAGGGCACTGGGAGGAAAAGTCCTTTTTCTAAGAGTTCTCCCAACCACTGGCACTTTCCTGTTGGTTCAGGGCTGAGAGAACTGGTTAAGAATGCACACCAGCTTACTTACTCTGAGTGTTTGCCATGTGCTACAAACTGTTGCTGACCCCTAATTGCATCAACAAGGTTTTTTAAAAAGTACCTTGCCTGAACAGTGGGGGTAGAAATACACACTTTACCTAAGCCTTAGGAGAAAAACAGAAGCAAGCCCCTAGGAATCATTTCTGCCCCTGTGATTCTAATTTTGTAGATCTGAGCTGTCATCACTTTAAGTACTAAGACTATCTTTCTGCTAGTTTGTTTTTGTTTGGGGGGCCACATCCAGTGGTACCCAGGACTTCCTCCTGGTTCTGAGCTCAGGAGTCACTCCTGGCTGGCAGTGACCCCTCAGCAACAGAAGACTACATTAAGTGCCTGGGGATTGAACTGTAGTCAACTACGTGCAAGAAAATCACCTTAACCCCTACTCTCTCTCTCTCTAACCCAATTTTAACAACCTTAATCCACATTACTGATAAGAGAAAGAACACATGGAGGGTGCGGGATCCCGGAGGAAAAAAAAAAAAAAGAAAAAACAGGTTCCAAAAAGAGCCAAGTTCACCCGCAAGTTCCAGATGGAGTAGGCGCCGCATCTCGCCTCCCCCAGATGGAACCCCGGTGACCAAATCCACATTACTTAGCTCCATTTTAGGGGTGAGGAAATAAAGGCACTATTAGCAGTAATATTGTTAGAAATAGCAGCATAAAGAGGCTTGTACTCCTAACCCAGGGACTGGTTGCTTCCCTTTGGGAAGCAGGCTGGGGTGGGGGAGGGTGCAGAAAGAACCCCACTGCACAGATAAGCCAGACAGATAGTACAGGAGATAAGGCACTTGCCTTGCATGTCACCTACCCAGTTCTGTCTCCTTCCTCTACTACATATGGTCCCTGAGCACTGTCAGGAGGTCACTCCTAAGCACAGAGCCAGGAATAGCTCCTGAGCAACACAGGATTTATGGGAAATCATCTCCCTAACAACAACAACAACAACAACAACAATAAATCCCTAAAGCTGGAATATTCCCTGGGATAAAACAACTTAGGTCTTCACATACAAAGGGTTCGCAAGTGTGCACCCAGGACAGACTGGAATAGTGGGAAAGAATAGATGCCAATGATATCTGCTGGCTACAAATAATAGAATAAAACTGTTTAAGGTCTTTAGGATGTAGGGGGTAGCATGGGAAAAACAGAACAGGAAGCCATCTTTTATACTTTAAGGGTTCCTGCCGATCAGCTATGTAAATACTCCAGCCTCAGCTCTTCCAGTATTTATTGTACATTCATGTGTTTACTCTCCTTATGGTCTCTGTCAACTTAATCTGTCAATATGGCATTGAACCAATGGCCTGTCCCTGAGATCACTGATCTTTATACTCAGGTGACCCTAAAGTTTGGACAGTCCTTGTGTGTGTGTTTGTTTATCTCATTTTCTGTGGCCAGCCCTGATGGATTTGTAGGACCGGTTTAGCAGGATTCACAACGGTTGTGGCCCAGCCCCCTTCCCCACCTCCCCCAGACCCCTTCTCCAAAACATTAGAACTCTGGCTATATCCAACAGTCAATGGGATGTCCTCCTTGGGATTCCTTTCCTGCTGTCTGTGAGAACTCTATAAAACCAGCCTCTGTTGTGGTGTGGGGACTTTGTGGGGCCTAGAGAGTAAAAGCACGGTTTAATTTTTTTTTTTAAAGAAGTCAATTTATTTAATTTATTTTTTTCTTTTTTGGGTCACACCCAGCAATGCTCAGGGGTTACTCCTGGCTTTGCACTCAGGAATTACTCCTGGCGGTGCTTGGGGGACCATATGGGATGCCGGGGATCGAACCCAGGTCGGCTGCGTGCAAGGCAAATGCCCTACCCACTGTGCTATCGCTCCAGCCCCAAAGCACAGTTTAATTTTAAAATATTTTCCTTGTCTGAGACTGAACCCTGGGCTTTAAGCATGCAAAGCAATTACAGTATAGCTGACATACAGCCCCTAGCCAAGAGCCCAATTTTAGAAGACGGAACCTTCTCTATCCATCTTCTACCTGGATCTAAGAAAATTCCCTCTTTGGGTCCTAATCTGCACTTCCAATAGATGAAGCGAAGATGGCACTGAGCTGGCAAACACAATCCAGCAGTTAAATAAGCCTCATTTCTTTTTTCTTTTTTTTTTCTTGCTTTTTGAATCACACCTGGAGATGCACAGGGGCCACTCCTGGCTCTGCACTCAGGAGTCATTCCTGGAAGTGCTCAGGGGACCATATGGGATGCTGGGAATCGAACCTGGGACGGCCACGTGCAAGGCAAACACCTTACCTGCTGTGCTATCTCTCCAGGCCCAATAAGCCTCATTTCTTTTTCTACTGGACACAGACCACATTTCCCAGCTTCCTCTGCAATGGGCGTGGCCTGATGATTAACTTCTGGCCAATGGGATGTGAGCAGAAGTGCTCCTCCTTCCTCTCCATCCTGTCCTGGCTGGTAGGAATGATTTTCCATAACTAGGCTCGAACAACCACCCTGCCCAATACTGCCAACCTGCTCCAAGCAAGTCATGAGCCATTGGAGCATCAGCTCCAAAAGCCTTACCCTCATCCCTCAGCTCTCCCCTTTGCCAACGTGTTACCTGCTTACAACGGTGCTCTTCCTATCCACAAGGAGCCAGGATAACTCACAGCTGCAAGTGAGAGGGTTGCCAAAGAGATGGATGGACAGGACCTGGGAGGAATGCAGAGTCCACGGAGGGAAGGAAGTCAAGTTGCAACTGAAATGCACAGAAAATCAATTAAATTGAGCTTTTTTGTTTAAATTGGGTCAAAACTACTAGAGAGGCTGGGTGAATGGGCCAGTGCTGACATCAGAGCTCTTGGGAACAGGAGTTGAACTGGCCCCAGAGACCCAAGAGTCAAACTTAAACGTTGTCAACGCCTAAATTACTCTTTCTCTCACTCCCATCTGGATCAAAAATGTCACCCTACACTCAGTGGAATACCACTCGGCCATAAGTAAAGATGAGGTCATACAATTTGCGGATACATGGACAGATCTGGAGTGAGACAAATCAGATACAGAATGATCTTGCTCATATTTGAGATGGGCTGGAGTGATAGCACAGTGGTAGGGCATTTGCCTTGCACGCAGCCAGCCCAGCCGAACCGGGTTTGATTCCTCTGCCCCCTCTCGGAGAGCCTGGCAAGCTACTGAGAGTATTCAATATTATTCAGTATGCCAAACACAGTAACAAGAAGTCTCACAATGGAGACGATACTTGGCCCGCTCAAGCAAATCGATGAACAACGGGAGGACTAACTAACTAACTAACTAACTAACTAACTAGTAGGGGAATATCAAATTCCCAAAGGCCATAGAAATGAAGAACTTGTCTTCAGTAAGAAGCTTGTCTTACTGAAACTGGTCTTCAGCAAGAAGCTTGCCACCAAGGCAAAGCAGGGGGTGATGTTAGAGAAGGGACAATGAGGGAAGGGAAAAAGGGTTGGGGGAGGGTCGAGGAAGCAGGGTTGAGGGATGGAACAGGGGACATCGGTGGAAGAACGTGGACACTGGTGAAGGGATTGGTGTTAGAACACTGTACACCTGAAACTTAATAATGAATAACTTTGTAACTCTGTAATTCACGGTGATACAATTAAAATGATGATTAAAGAAAGTGTCACCCACACAGTGCATTCTGGCCAGAGCTTCTGGTCCCTCTAGGTCCCTAGCTGAGCAATCTCCCAGTGACCTTCAGCTTGTTCAGCCACTCTTTCCTTCCCTACATGCTCTTGCCTCCTGGGTTCCAGGTCACCATTATCTCCTGGCTGACCAACCACACTCTTTTTTGTTTGTCTGGGGGCCACACCTGCTAGTGTGTGTATGTCTCATGGTGATTCAATAAAAATTAAATTAAGTAAAATAGGGGCTGGAGCGATAGCACAGAGGGTAGAGTGTTTGTCTTGCACACAGCCAACCCGGGTTTGATTCCCAGCATCCCATATGGTCCCCTGAGCACCCCCAGGAGTAATTCCTGAGTGCACGAGCCAGGAGTAACCCCTGTGCATTGCTGGGTGTGACCCAAAAAGAAAAAAATAATAAAGTAAAATAAAGGAGAGAAGTTCCCTACTGGTAGTGACCATGGGGCAAAGGCGTCTACTCCCTGGGAGCAGAGATAGCCCCCGATGCTGTTTCACTAGAGAATTCAGGGACAAAGCTGCCTTTTGGGAGAAGAGATACAGGGACACTTTGGACAGCACTGGGCCACAAGCCACCAACCCTGACCACTACCAAAAGTTGAACTTTCTACCCTCCAGCCCACTCAAACCCTGATAAAGGCTGATTTGCACAAATCTCTAGGCAAACAGGTAGACCCAGAAATATAGAAAACCCTGATGGTTTCATCTCCTCTTCCTGCTGCAAATATTTTAGTCTGAGTATAATGGAAATTTGATAAGCAGGAGAGTCTGGAATATGTTTTTAGGCCACAGCTGGCTATGCTCAGGGTTTACTTCTGGCTCTGTGCTCAGGGATCATTTCTGGAGGTGCTCAGGGGACCACATGTAGTGCCAGGTATCAAATCCGGGTCAAATGCATGCAAGGCAAGCGACCTAGCTGCTCTTCTATCTCCTTGGCCCCAAGTCTGAAGGTTTTTTGTTTTTGTTTTTTTTTTTGCTTTTTGGGTCCCACCTGGCAATGCACAGGGGTTACTCCTGGCTCTGCACTCAGGAATTACTCCTGGCAGTGCTCCGGGGACCATATGGGATGCTGGGAATCAAACCAGGTCGGCCATGTGCAAGGCAAATGCCCTACTCACTGTACTGTCGCTCCAGTCTCCAAGTCTGAAGTCTTAATATTAGTCTAGACTGGACTAAGTTGCCTATTGTTATGGATGGAGCAGCGGGTCTCCTTCAATGGATGTGGGAGAACAAACCTCCAGAGAGGATCTGACTGAGCCATGGGCGGATAATCAGTACTGGACAAAACTGATGGTGTGACTGAGTCTCAGAAACACTTACTTCTGGAACTGAAGGACTTGGAGCTGAGGGGTGTCCTGAAAGATTTTTGTGTGCACCGAAGAAAGTGCCGGTGAGTCTTGGCAATCCAGCTGCCGCAGGTTGGGGGTCATCTGGAAAATGCCCCCCTCCAGGCTGCTCAGTCTGGGCATCTTCCTCAGGTAGAGATATGTGAGCTTCGGCAGGTCTCGGGTCCACCCGGACCGAACTGAAATACAGAGGGGTCGAGACTGAGGGGTGACTAATCAATCCTGGAGGTCAGTACAGCACTTAGCAAACACAAGAGTGACAGGGGGCGGGAAAAGGTCAGTGCTGACCCCACGCACAGTGGGCAGCGTGAGGAAACTCAGATGCAGGGGTCAGTTCAGTCGGAAGGAGAAGCAGTTCATCCTTCTAGCCCCAACAGACCCAGGGCTAGAAGGCCCTGAGTGGACAATGATCAGCCTAAGGTCACCAGCTGGGAAGGGACAGAGGAAGGACTCTGTCCAGGACTCTGCCCCCACCTGCTGGCCATTAAATTTCACACAGAAATACAGTGAATTTCACTGTGATGGTGACTGGGAATGGGGATTTGGGGGGCCTGAGGGCCACACTTGGGGGTGCTTGAGGGCCCCTCCTGGCTCGGTGCTCAGCGGAGGGAGTGGGGATTTTGAGGAAGGAAGTAAAGAGGAGAGGAGGAACCTGGAGTTGATCTAGGACCGAATTTTGTGCTTACTTTAATAGCACTGCAGCACTGTCCTCCCGTTGTTCATTGGTTTGCTCAAGCAGGCACCAGTAACATCTCCATTGAAAGACTTTTTGTTACTGTTTTTGGCATATTGAATATGCCACGGGGAGCTTGCGAGGCTCTGCCTTGCGGGCAGGATACTCTCAGTGGCTTGCTGGGCTCTCCGAGAGGGACGGAGGAATCAAACCCAGGTCTGCCGTGTGCAAGGCAAACACCTTACCCACTGTGCTATCGCTCCAGCCCATAGAAAGGTTAATTAACAACAATATTTGGATTAATTTTTAGTATGTCTCTAGACAAGCTCAGAAGGGTGTATTTATTTTGGAAAGCAAAAGAACTGATAAAATGCACAAAAAGCCCAAATGTAATATTAAAAAAATGACTTGGTTTTTATAGTTAAAAACCCAAAGTGAATGGTAAGATTAAGATTGCTAATTAAAAAATAAATTGTGAGAACCCAATGAGAAGCCCAAGTAAGCAGCAGTAGTAGTGGCAAACACCAGGCCCCACAGGACAGGGGAGGAGCTGGTCCTTCTCCTCACCCCACCCCTATGGGACTCTGAGATGATGCTCATGAATTGCCCTCGGCTACTCACTAAGCTCCTAAATGGCTACGATCCAGAGACACACAAACAAATCTTGGAAATGAGCAGCTTGCTGCAGAGATATCTCCAGACCCTAATTATTAAAATTTTAGAATTCCAAGAGCACACGGCCATGTGGCATTATATGCTATTCATAACGAGCAATTCAAAACAAATTGTCTAGCACTGCCTTTCTGGAAGGTTTGAGTGGTGGTGGGAAAATTAATAGATGGAGAAAATTCCCTCTCCCCCCACCCCTTACAGTAGGAATGGATCATTATAGACACATAAAGTACTTTGGAAAAATAAAATTAGAGCTGGAGAGATATTATAGTGGGAAAGGCACTTGCTTTGTGCTTGGCCGACCCCAGCATTGCATATGGTCCCCCAGCATGGACACGGTTACTCATGAGCACAGAGTCAGGAGCACTGAGCATTGCTGGGTGTGACTTTAAGCCCCCTAGTTATAATTAATAATAATAATAATAATGTCCAGGGCTGGGGAGATACTTTGAAAGAAGGACTGAGTGCCCCCAAAGCGGTCCTAACACACAGGAGGCCAGATTCAATACCTGGCACCACATTGCTTTGCATTCAGTTAACCTGGATTTGTTTCCACAGAGGGTCCCAGGAGCAGCCGAGTTAGGAGTGGGAGTAGTCCCTGAGTAATGCCAGGTGGGCCCCAATAGATAAAAATAAATAAAATAATAAAACAAAGAAAAACCAGCCTTGGGGATCAGAGGAGTTCACCACGGTACAGAAGAACTGGACTTTCACCCGCCTCCTGGGTCCTGTTAGAATGGTCCGCGTTCACAGAAGCAACTTTAACTAACCCAGTGGGAAAAACAGCATATTCACCTCTGCGCATCAGTTGCTCATATTAACTGTAAGTACGATGTTAGATGATCCCCAAGAAATGCCTCCACTCCCCACACCTCCAGCCCCTCCATAAAGTCTTCCCGACGGGAAGTAGCAGAACAGAGTGAGGGTTCTTGGCTTGTTTTTATGAGGTTTGGAAGAAACACCTAGCAAAGCTCAGGGCTTACCCCTGGCTCTACACTCAGGGTCGCGTCTGGCAGTGCTTCGGGGACCACATAGGGTGCCGAGCACTGAAGCCGGGTGAGCAGCGTGAAAGGCAAACACTTTATCCTCTTGGTTCACCCCGGCATTGCATATGGCCCCTCAGCACGGACACGGGTCACTCATGAGTGTTCAGAGTGTGGGTTCTGGACCTAGAAAGAGGTGGGCTTTGGGTTCTAGAAACTGTAGCCTCGGGTTTGGAGGCACCATGAGCGCGTCCACCCGCTCTGTGCCTGATCGGATTCCTGGGTGCAAAGCAGATAACAGCACTTTCCACCTCCGGGGCCCAAGCGGTTGCTCCAGGTCTGCTTCGACCGCATCAGCGGGCGATCCAGGTGCAGTTACTGCGGAGACGCGCGGTGAAGCTCCGCCAGGACTGGACGCAGGTCCAGGCCCGGCTCCGGGAGCGCGCGCCCAGCCCGGCTCTGCATCCCCCGTGGGGGAGGGGGCTCCCGGCACTCACTCTGCTCCAGGAACGTGCCGCTGAGATCCAGGACCTCGAGCGCCGCCAGGGCCGCGCCGCCCGCCGCGGTGAAGGCGCCGTCGGGGAGGTCCCCGCGCGCGCCCCGGCCCAGGGCGGTGGAGGAGAGGTTGAGCAGGCGCAGCGCGGGGAAGCAGGAGAAGGCCCCGGGCCGCAGCGCCCGCAGCGGGTTGCCGGCGAGCGACAGCGTGCGGAGGCCGCTGCGGGCTGCGGGACCGCCGCACGACGGCAGCTCGACCAGGCGGTTGTCGGCGAGGTCCAGCGTGTGCAGCGCCGCGGGCTCGCCGGGGCCCCAGCTCAGCGCCTCCACGCGGTTGTGGCGCAGCGACAGCACCCGCAGCTGCGGCAGGTGCCCGAGGTCCGCGGCGCCCAGGGCGCGCAGCAGGTTGTGGCTGGCGTCGAGGGTTTGCAGCTCGCGCGGCAGGCAGCGCGGCAGGAGCTCCAGGCTGCGATTCGCGAGCGTCCAGGCCGCCACCCCCGCGGCGGGCAGCCCCTCGCAGGGCGACGCCGTGGCGTTGCCGGGCTCAGTCTCCTCCAAGGGGCCCTGCTGCGTGAGCCAGAAGACCGGGGCCTGCTCCCGGGGGCGCTCGGCCCCGCCCCGCAGCAGCGGCTGCAGTTGCAGTAGCAGCAGCAGCAGGAGGAGGCACCTCATGGCCCCGCGCCTGCGGAGAGAACAGCAGGAGCCGTCGGTCAGACGCAGCGCTCCTGGGCGGCACAGGGGCTGGGGAGTTCCCTAAGGCAGCGGGACTGTACCCTAGAATCACCTGACAAGCGTAGTGCCCTTGCTCCTGTCTGATCTTCTCTCGAGGTTGGAGAACACCCACTTGTTCTTTATTTCCTTCCTTCCTGGCTTTGGTTTTGGGGTCACACCTAGTGATGCTCAGGGCTTAGTCCACTTCTGCACTCAGGAGTTACTCCCGGGGGTACTCAGGGGGAACCATATGGGGCGCTGGATGTCGACCCTGATCGACTGAGAGCAAAGCAAGTCCCCCCACCAACCCACTGTCCTAGGAGCCCCAGAGCCTGTCTTTTCTTGCTGTCAGTTCTCCCCAGGCGTTCAGGAGCTGCCTCTACACTCCATTAAGGGTCTAGAGAATGGGCTCAGCGGAGAAGCAGCTTTGCTGGAAAAGATCAAGGGACTTAGACAAAGATTGTGTCACTTCCAAGGAAACTTAGTGGCCCGACTTTTTCCCTTAGGACTTCCGTGAGGCTGGTTTGTCGCTGACCTGTATGCTTGACATATTATTATTATTGTTATTATTGTTATTGTGGTTTTGGACGACACATAGTACCGTTAAGGATGCTAAGTGTGGTGCCGGATTTGAACCTGGGTCAATGCCATGCAAGATAAAAGTGTCTTAATCATTTCGCTTATCCCTCTAGTCTAATGGGTCATCTTTTTAAAAAAAGTACTAAACAGCAGGTAAGGTGCTTGCCTTGCATGCAGTTGACGGGTTCGATCCCCGGCATTCCATATAGTCACCTAGGACCATCAGGAGTGATCTGAGTGCAGAGCCAGGAATAACTCCTAAGCATCCTTAGATGTGCCCCCCCGCCCCAGCCCCCCAAAAAAGGGTACTGAGTTTTCTTTGTGGGGGATGTAACTCAATGTAGCCTTCATGGAAGAAAGGCACTCCAGGCAGTTGAGAGTCTTGGGGACCCAGAAGCCAGCCTTCCACAGTTCCACCCTGCTCCCCACAAAAGCCAGAGCTCATGAGATTAGCCCTGCCCAGGAGAAATGGCTACAGATTCCCATACAGTTTCTGGAGTAGCCTAGGGTTGGTGTCCAGAGACCTGTTGGGATTGATCAGGCAGCCAGGACTGATCTGGGAGCCTTGGCCTCGTGTGTGTTTCTGTCCTGGTCTCTGAGCAGCTACTGAGGCCGCAGGGGAAAAACATCCCTCTTACTAACTGGGGTGGGGGGGGGGGGAGTCAAGGAAGTGAGAAATAGTCAGGAAATGGTGATCAGGAAGGAACCCATGGGATCACAGCCAGCCAGACTCACCCGGAAGTTGTCCTCCTGGAGTGCAGTTACCCTGGACTCCCTTAGCGGTCCTCAAGCTTGTCTTAGAGTCCAGGATCCGGTGACTTAGAGAGCAGCTCAGCTCTGAAATCTCAGCAGGCCTGTTTGCCTGACCCCACCCTCCTCCGAGATTCCCTAGTCCCTGAAGCCCCTCCTCCCCGCACTGAAGCTGTGGTCTTTAGCCAACACCCACTCCTCCCAGCCTGAGCCTGCCTTTTTCCAAGCCTGACACCTCCTCCCCGCCCTCCCCTAGCTTCACCTCCCTTCCCGGGACCTTCAGGGTCTGAAAACTAAAGGGAGTCAGTTCTGTGGGTCAAGGTGAGTCACAAAGGTCAATGCCTCCTAGGAGCCCATCCTCCTGACACATGGATTTCATTTGCTAGGGTGCCTGAGGCCGCTGTGAGGGGGAAGCTCCTTTTCCCAAAGGAGAGACAGACCCCAGTGCCCCAATCTGCAATTAGGCTTGCAGCGATTTTCAGGAAAAACTGAGGGAGGGGAAAGGTGTGCTCAGAGGAGTCTGGGAACCGGATGCAGGAGCCCTGAGAAGGGGGCCTCTCTGGGACTCAGTTTGAAATGCAGTGACAGTAATCCTGCCTTAGTGGCCGGGATGATGGATCCCAGTTTTTAGGACCCCCAGGTCTTTCTGCAGGGGCAGAACAAAGCTAGAAGAACTGTGTTTAGATGAGAGGGGCTGAGTTTGGTCATTTCATCCCAGGGCCTTTGATCTGCAAAAGCCTTTGGGCCAGCCCCTCTGGGAACTGCCTGAGAGCCTGAGGCTCTGCCCACACAGACCAGCACCACCGCCACCGGGCTCCTTCTTGCTGTCAGTCCTTATCTAGGCAGCCCCAGGAACCCCAGGACACCTCAGAACTGACCTGCGGGGACTGGCTGAATGACTGGGAATCTGGGGGAGGGAGGATCTTCTCCCAGCCAGCCTCAGACACACCCTTTTTGTGGAAGTGCGCCTGGCGCCTTGCTGGGCGGGAGAGACCTGTCAGGCTCCAGGTCCTGCAAACAAGCCCTGAGCCTTGAAAACCCAGGAGGCCAGGAGGAGGGACAGGCAGGGGGGTGATAGGTGCAGCCCTGCCCTTTGGCGCCTCAGGGAGCCCTTCGCTCCATTCTGTGAGGTTCTCAGCTTATAGCCATCTCCTGCCCAGCTTTTATCAGATTAGCCAGGGGTACCTTGGTGGACAGCCTGAGACCTCATGGGATTTGGGAAGCTTGGGCTGGGCTGTCTTGATGAGGGGTCGAATCCACTGAGCAGGGAAGAGGTTAGGTACCAGTAGTGGGTGGCAAGAGAATATTGAGATTCTTCTTTGTATACAATTAAGCAAAGCTTGAGAGAGACCCCAAGGGGGAAACCCATCCTTGACAGCTTTCAAGGTCATTCCTTTTCATTTTTCTCAAGTCCCAGCCCTTTTATCTTCCTTCCTTCCTTCCTTTCCTCCCACTCTCCTTCCTCTCTCTTTCTTTCTTTCCCTCTTTCTTTCTTTCTTTCTTTCTTTCTTTCTTTCTTTCTTTCCCTCTTTCTCTCTCTCTTTCTTTCTTTCTTTCCCTCTTTCTTTCTCTCTCTCTTTCTTCCTTCCTTCCTTCCTTCCTTCCTTCCTCTCTTCTTTCTTTCTTTCTTTCTTTCTTTCTCTCTTTCTTTCCCTCTTTCTCTCTCTTTCTTTCTTTCTTTCTTTCTTTCTTTCTTTCTTTCTTTCTTTCTTTCTCTCTTTCTTTCCCTCTTTCTCTCTCTCTTTCTTTCTTTCTTTCTTTCTTTCTTTCTTTCTTTCCCTCTTTCTTTCTCTCTCTCTCTTCCTTCCTTCCTTCCTTCCTTCCTTCCTTCCTTCCTTCCTTCTTCTCTTTCTTTCTTTCTTTCTTTCTTTCTTTCATTTGTTTTTGGGCTACACCTGACTCTTGGCTCTGCAGTCAGGAATCACTCCTGGTGGGCCTGGGAGACCATAAGGGATGCCAGGGATGAAAACTGGGTTGGCTATGTACAAGGCAAGTGCCCTGCCCGCTGTCTATTGCTCTGGCCTCTGGAGCCCCAGACTTGTGAGGCAACCCCATATCTCTAAAGCTTGCTGGCTGGCTCACCAGGGCTGACAAACATCTGTCTGGGACCCCTGACCTATGTCTGATTTCGGTCTTTGAACTGCTGTTTGCCATGGGCTGACACAGCCTAAGCAGGCTCGCTCCTGGGGACTGCTCATGTGGCCTTCAGACCAGGAGGGCTTGCTGGTGGCCACAGGGCCATATTTACATACTGGTCAGTCTCCCTGACATGGTTGATTGAGGGGTGAACTCTGCTTATCACCATTATCCCCCCTTTAAAGCTCTGGGCCAGAGAAACAGTTCAATGAGCTAAGTGTGTGCAGGAGGCCTGGGTTTGATCCTTGACACCATGTGGTCCTCTGAGCCAGGAGTGATCACTGAGCACTACTTGTACGGCTTCAAAACCCAAAAACAAACAAACAACATTGGGCTGGAAAGATGATACAGGAGGCAAAGTTGCATGAAGCCAGCCATGGTTTCAATAGTCCTAGACACCATATATGGTCCTCTGAGCATCGTTCCTGAGTACAGAACCAGGAATAGCCCCTGCGCACTGCCAGATTTGGCTCCCAAACCAAACCAAAACAACAAACAAATCCACACCAAGCACTTGCTTCTGTCAGAGTCTAATACCACAGGTGGGCATTAGCTCATGACATCCTCACCAGGTAGTTACTATTCCCAGGCTCCAGAAAGGGAAACCCAGCTAATTGTCCTTCATGCTTAGTCACCACTTTCTGTTGCTTTAAACTGTTGGTTTACATTGTAAACCTTTCCCCAGTAAACATGGACCCAAATCACGTGAGCCTGGGGAAGTCGAGAGATTTCAGAGTTGAGCAGCTCATTCTGAGGATGAACTTTTCGGGCCTCAGTGGGCCCAGGGGTACGCGGCAGTCAGGAAAAAGAGACTCTGGCCCTTCTCAGGGAGTCTGGCCATCTTCTCCAGAAACTTCTCCTCCAGCTCTTCTGGGAATCCAGGAAAAATAGACTGAAGGAAGGCTTGGTGCCCTGCAGACTAGGATGCACTGGGACCAGTGAGACCATGTCTCCAGGTGACACGCCTCACCCAGTGCAATCCACACTGGGCCCTTCATCTCTTTACCCTCTGCCGACACTCCCTGGACCACCTTTTCATGTTAGCTCATTCTTCCATGTGTAGGTTTTTGGGGAGGTAGAGAAGGGTTGGATTTTTTTCTTTTTTAATTGAATCACTGTGAGATACACAGTTACAAAGCTGTTCATGGTCAGGTTTCAGTCATACAGTGTTCCAACACCCATCCTCCACCAGTGTACATTTTCTACCACCAATGTCCCCAGTTTTCCTCCTGTCTCTGTGGCAGGCACTTCTCTCTCTCTCTCTCTCTCTCCCCCCCCCCCCCGTCTCTCTCACACACACACATACATACACAACATGTTTGTTCCTTTACCTATTTTCAATAAGTTGTTCTTATCTAGAGTGATTATTTACAACTGTCTTTGTCATAATGGTCACTTCTCTATCCCCTCAAAAAATGGCTCTGAAGTAAAGACTTGTGGTACAGATGGTTTATTTGAGGACTATAGAGAAGAAACATTGAAGAGAGGAGAAGGTA